CCACGCTAGTTTTATCCTGTTACATCTGCTTAACTATAGCGGGTCATTTTTAAACTTATGTCAGTACAAGAATATGTTTGGGTATGAGTTAAATTTTTATGTCAGTCATTGACCTTAACTTACTCCACGATTCAAAAGGCCTGATTCCTGTTTACTCTTAAGACCTAGTCTGTGTTACAGTCTGCTAGTGATAAAGGTGTCAATGGGTATGACTAGGTACAATCTCCTACAAACACAACTGTGCCAGTAAATGTACTTAGTATTGACACTGGTGTACAGAGAAAGCAATGCTGTTCCTGGTGTAGCTTCCTGTGCGTTTGCAGCATGCTGCTGTAGGGCGCATCTCCAGTAGAAGACACCGCAATTAGAATCTAAAGCTCTTCAAGGACACGATGCTGTCTTACACCACTCTGTCAATGAAAAGGGCTTTATGTCTGGACTTGTTTGAAGGCCTCTTTATATAGTCAGAATGCTATCAATAATAATTGCTTCTTTGGTCTGTAATTACCCTTTGGCTTTCCCATCCTTATCTCCTGAGGAAAGCTAGTGTATTGCTTGTGAAGTAACAAAACCTAATTGTTCAGAAGTGGATCATTCCTACGTTTTTGACCATGTGCTTGTAACGGAAAACTGACATGCTGTGGTCTTAAAGTTTGCAGTTTTGGTGGTATTCTTGCTACTTCATCAAACTGTAGTTACATTTGTCTCCATTGCTTGTAGTCCTGAGATCTGAAACACGCACTGACCTGAATAACTTTTTCTTTTTTTCTTCCCTCCTAAAATGTTATGATTTGCGTTTTACAGGAAAAATCCAAACCTAGATTTTTCTAAGTCTGGAAAATACATAGGAAATGAGAGAAGGTCCCTGCATTCAACTTAGATGGTGAAGCTGTGTGCATATACAGTAATGTAGTACATACGGGAGTTTATAGGGTTAGTAGGCATAATAACTCTATAGACTGAAATACTCATAACCTTTTCTCTAGTTGTAAAAAGGCAGGATGACTGTATGTAAAAATTCTTCAGTTCCTAATGAAGAAGATTAGGAAGATCTATGGTGGCTGAAAGAGCTGAAACAAAAACCAGTCATATCTTTATAACGCAAAACAAATTTTAAATGTACCCTAAAAGAGGAGATTTTAGGCCTGGCTTTCATGCAGTTTTGAATACATAAACTAAGCTAATGAACAATGTGAAGTTTTTTCAATATATAAGTACAACCCCCTACTACAGTCTAGACAATAACTTGTCAGTATAATTTTCAAATTACGCTAGCTTAATTAAAATGGTAAAGCCTGTATTTAGACGAGACCTTATTGTTTCCAACAAACATAGGAGAGCAATGGGAACAAATAATTACAGGGAAATACATTTGCACCTGCAAATAAGCTGAATTTGGGGCAACACATGAAGAACTGGACTTGATACGCTGATGATAAGAGACTTAGATATAAAGTAGTGATTACAAAATCAGCACATCATTTTGGTTGGATTCACTTCTGTGGTGTGTTCTAAAATAATGATATTAGCCAAAGGAGAAGACGACCTAGAACTTGCACGCATGCTTAGCAACATCATAAATTTTAAGTGATGGAAAAACAAGGGGTAGTTGAATATATGTGAATAAATGCAAGTTCTAATTCATTTCACTTTTTGATTCTTGAAGTGGTTGTGTGATTCATCTGGTTTCGGGAACTTGCATTTTAGATATGAATCATGAAAAATACATTAATTTTGTGAATTCTTCAAGTTTAGCACTTGCCACTCTCTACTGGAGTATAAAGAAGAAATGGTTTCCATTAACTGAGAAAACAATCTAGTATTTACTTGTAAGCTATGCAGTTGTATTGTGGTTTCTTAATGTTTCTCACTTATGTACTGCACAGGATGATAAATTGTTTTAGTTATTTATGATAATATGCATTGCTACCAAAAATGTGTTTTCATAGTTACATTTCTGCACCTGTAACTGGGGAAAACAGCAGTTTGGTTAGACTCCAGGTTTATTAATAATTTCAGCTTCAACGAAATACAATCCTAAGCTCTTGGCCTTTGATTTTCTAATAGTTCTTAGCTATAGGAAAATAATATTTACAAATTTGTAACTGATCTGTTTTCTGATATTAAGCTACTAGAGGCTTCAAAGTATTGCCAGTTGAGCCAGTATGACTAATGTAAATAGTGCATGTAAGTTCCTATTGGTATATTGAGCCCACAGTACTAGTTCAATTATTGCTTCAACTTTAATATTAAAATATATCATGTAAGTTTATTATTATCTATTTTAAAAATATGGCTAAGAACTTTTATCAAGCCCTAGAACTCAGAATGGCTGTAAAATCTCCATCTTTGGAGATGCTCAGAACTCAACTGGACAAAAGGCCCTGAGCAACCTGTTGACTTCAAAATCAGATCCAACTTTGAGGTGGGTCCTGGTTTGAGGGGGGGCAGAGAAGGTGGTGGACCAGGTGACTTCCCGAGGTCCCTTCCAACCAATTTTTCTATTTCTAATATACTAATTAAAAACAGGTTCCTGTGTTGGTGGTACTGCCATTCTTCTCCTCTTTGTTGTTAAATACATCACGGAGTACACTTTCTCAGCTTGTTGCACCAGTGTATACTGAGGGGTGGGAACTCATTCCATGATGGCGTTTTAAAAGCCATTTTCAATTCTAATTTGTCAGTAAAAAAATTAAAATATTTTGATTTTTGGAAGACAGTTTGAAAGTACCAAATTTTTTTTCCTACATCTGAGGTTAAAAATGACAAGGCCAAGTGTTTTCAAGTATCCTGCACTCATATATATATACACGTATAGAATGAATGGAGTACTTGTCTCTTACATCCCATTTTAGGCTTTCTGTTAGCGTATTTTTCATGCTTTCTCTCATTAATAGGGGTGATTAATCCAGTATGCTGTTTGACAACAAATCACCTACTAAAACTCTGTATCCATTGCACAGTAATGAAGTGGAGCAGATGCTTATACACAAAATAAGCATTTTTTTTCTTCCCAAGGCATTCTTTGTTTATATTAAGCTGTCCTGAATGGATGTACTGACTAGCCTTTATCCCGTATCTCAACGGTAAGAGGGGGGGGAAAAAAAAAAAAACTTTCATGAAGGTACAGTAAATCTAAAGAATGGCTAGTAACTTGACTCAGTTGTTCATCTATGTAAAGCTCCAAACATGTAGCAGAAATTTATTAAACAGCAAAACACAATCACAGATTTTATAATGGTCATAAAATATTTGATCCTCTGTTTTATCACTGAATAATACTAGATGGAGAACTCACTAGTTATATGGTAAGTTTATGGATAAAATTCATTCTTGATTATTCATAGGCTTTTTTTTGTATTTCTAGTTTTCTTTCAGCTATATATACCATTTGTGACACAGGATATGTAACCAAGATTTCAGTTTGCTGAGCTGATAAAACATTTCAAGTAATCCTAGAGGTAAAGATAGATATATTTTTAAACTAAGCAGCTGTGCAGTAGCCAGTACTATTAATTATAAAAATGCTAAATGCTCAATTTAAGAGCACAGACTTCAGGTTTTAGGGACTTGTTGGAACGTTATCCAACTATTGTAGAAAGGTGGGAAAATTTTCCTTATAATCTGATGCTGACATTCCCTGAATGCATTTGTACTCCAGGTACGTCGTTATTCAGTATAGGCTATAACATAAGGTTGCGCATCAAGTTACTAACCAGCCCATTAGTAAAAATTTTTATAGACAAAGTGATGATTCAGCAATAAGAAGAAACTTTACTTACATTAAAAACTTGTAGGAGGCTTATGAAAAGTATTTGCAGTATTAGCTATTACTAGATGACATCAGAAGAATACATAGGAAATTGTATTATCGATTATGTACTTCTGAGCTCAGTTTTTAGATGAAATGAAATAAGGGGGTAAGGAATCGCAGATGCAGAAAACTAAACAAAGGAGGAATAAGAAGGGAAGGATGTCAGGTTACCACAATTGAAAAAATAGGTGTATATATACAGCCATGTCTTAATAACTGCTATGTCGCAAAGTGTATTCAAACAAGTTATAAATCTCATGTTAGTGTTCTGTTACTACGAACAAAACATTGATATCACTTAGCTCTCCATAACAAAAACCTGTTACTAGGTGAAATTACATGTCGTTGACATATTGTTTATTTCCTATAATATACCAAATTATTACCAAAAAAACATCTGGGGTGATGTGCTATTAGATTCCAAGTGACTATACCATTAGCATGTGGAAAGCCTGACAGGCTACTTTTTTTTTTTCTTACTCTCAGCTGTCATAGCAATTCACTACTTGTTTTCAAGTCATGATTTTAAAACATTCTCATGGAGTAGCATAAACAGATTTTGAAGGATATATGACTCCTGAATTCATTCTGATCTTGAATAAATATCTGTGTTGTTCTGACATTATCCTTGCGACATCTAATGTTCTAACTCTCGTAGCTATCATTAAAATATAGTTGTGTAGTAAAATAACGTAGACAGCTTTCCCCAAAACTACTGGTTTTGTTTTGAAACATAAAGGGTTTAATTTGTGCAGAAATTACTGGTCAGTTTTATTTGATCCCCGATTTAAATGAAGTTTTTGGTTTTTTTCTCTCTCAGAAATCCTTTAGCCTTTAATCTCTCAATTCTGTATACAGCCAAATCTGACATTACTAAAGTGCTTTGCATTTTATTTCTTCTGTCTAGATCTGCCTTCTGCAGGTGACATATGCAAAGACCTGCAAGATGGTGACAGAGTAAATGTGTTGTTACTGTAAAATCACAGCAATGTTGGTCAGAAGGGAACTCTGGAGGTCATCTAGTCCAGCTTCCCACCTGAAACAAAGCGATGCAAAAGCCATGGCTAACTTGATCTGCTTTATCTAGCTGAGTCTTGACAGCCTATGGATGAGGACTCCACAGCCTCCCTGGGTGGCCTGTCATGCTGCTCTGCCACCCACCGAGTGAAGAGGTCTTCCTCAACATTCAGCCTATGCCTTCAGAGCTGTACCGTGCAGACAGTGCTCCTGGTTATCCCCTCCCTTAGTGTGCCTGTAGGGGAACGCCCAGCAGCTCAATCAGTTAGCATCTTCTTCACCTTAGGTAGCTGGTAGAAACATGATGTGACCTAAGAAATTATCTAATTCTGCACAGAAGAAAATGTTCACATCTCAGCAATCACTTGTCTCAATAGCTTCGTCTCAATTTTTATTGAAGAATGCAGTAACCTCCTTTACTGTAGTTTTTACTGGAGTCTTTCAAAAAGATAGTAACATTAAACTTTCTACTCTACCTTAAGTCCAGCGCTTGTAAATCTCTTTCAAACCCCCTAAAATAGAAATGCTGTTCATATAAATTGTTTAAATGTTTCCATGGTGTTTTGACTAAATACAAAGCCCAGGTGCATTATCCAGTAAAACTTACTAAAACTAGTGAAATGTGTAGTATATTATAAAAATGAATTACTTTTTCGAGCTTAATATCAGATATAGTCCACTTTAAGCTTACTGTTGTTAGATTTGCCAGAGCCCATTTCTCGGACTTTTTAGGCCCTCAATCACTATCCAGGATGAGTAGCATCTTGACTAAAGAGCTACCGAAGGTGTTAACTGTGCTAAGGTCCTGTTTTTAATACAGCTTAAAAAAGAAAAAGCACCTCTGATAATGATTTCTTAGACCGAAAAAACATTATTTTTCATCTGTTTTCTTGTCCCGTGTCTATAAAGCAGTTCTCAATTCTTCCTAAAATACTCATTGAAAAAACTATTGTGAAAAGAGCAGTAAAGGAAATGAAAAGCCCAATTCTTCTGGGAGAGTTTGGTTATGAAACTTAGTTCTTGCTTGTGAATATAATACATAAGTTCCAGTTTCTGCACCCGTAAGATATTACAAGCTCAATGCAGTCCCACCTGCCCACTAGATTCTTCTGACCTTTGCCTTCCTGTATGTCATTTGTTTGAATGATGTGGCCAGGTAGCAAGTGCCCCAATCGGTAGACTATTTGGGGGGGGAAAAAAATGTATATGCTACTGATGGGAACAAGTTGTGGTTAACTTTTTGCCTTTCTCTCTGAACTGTGGTCTTTGAGAGCAAAGGTGGCAAGTAAAACTTTTGAGTGTTACATGTTCTGAGGTAGATTGAGACAGAGTAAAACCAATGGGAGAACAGACAAATCCTATTCCGTTTACTCACTTTTACTACGTTACTGCAAGCCGATAATATATTTTCCCTTACGTTAAGTCATGTTGTTTTGCTCCTTGTTCTTCATCTGTCTCTAGGAAACATCTGTTTCATAAAATCGCCAGTAGGGGTCAGGTCTCTGCCAACAGAAAACAGAGGCAAAATCTTGCAAGGCAACGTATAAAAGGAAATAAGAAGCTCGCAACTCATCTTGCGCGGGGCGAGTGAGATGATTGCCAGCGGGGCTCTAGCCAAACCTGCTTTATTTCGGGGCTCTTCGATGTAGTGAAGTTCACGGACCTGCGAGGCGGAGAGCGGGGGCCGGGAGCCGCGCAGCCTTCGCGCAGCGCATGGTTTCGCCCTGGCACCACTTTGCAGGCTGCGCGCTCCCCGTTTCTTCGCTAGTTTCCGCGAAGCGGTTTGATGCCAGCGGCTGACGCCAACCCGCCCTGGGATCATCGGCCTGCGCGGCGGCGGGCCGGGCCGGGCCGGGCCGGGCCGGGCGTGTGTAACCCGGCAGGAAAGCAGTGCCCTCGCAAGCAGTTGTGGTATCCTGCCCCTACGGGAGGGGCGGCTACCGCTGAGCTCTCAGTTCGTGTCTTTGTGCTGATGCAGCATGCTTTGGGGCTTTGTTTTGGGTTTGTTTTGTTTTGTTTTGTTTTGTTTTTTCCTTTTAAGCTGGAGTTGTAGCCGTTCATACCCAAGCGAAGCCAAGAAATAAATCTTGCCTCATGCCATCGACCAGAAGTTCTGTGCGCTGCACGTTACAAGAGGGTGCTTCCAGATGTACCAGCCATACTTTAAAAAAACGTTTTTCATTTGGCCTACTTCAGGCTTTAGAACCAAATTTCATTTAGTCCTCATTTTGAATTAATATCACACGTTTCTCAATACCCATCCCTTTACATTTTTTGTAGAAAGCGTAATTTTCTTTGCAGATTTAATTGCCATATCTCCTGCAATTCCTATTAAAAAAAAATGTTGTTTCCAAAGTAAAAGTTTAAAAATATCCAAAATTCTTCCACCTTTGCCTCTTACCATCAGGGACAAACACTTTTCAAGTATTCTGTACTCTCTACAGCTACAGGTTTTAAAATCTGCAGGATATGTACCGCATACATCCGAGTAGGTCCAAGATGATGCGGTCATGACCTTTACGATAATCCCGACTGAGCACTAAGTACTCTTTTTCTCTCAAATGCCCGATAGCCAGGGTAAAATACAACTGCATGAGCTGTGGTCTCAGACGACATGTATTGCACAAATAGCCCACTATAGGAACAACAAGTTGTGGAGAAATGGTAAAACCATCTTTACGTGTGCAAACAAAGGACCCAGGCACATCTGCTGTTGCTGACACAGTTGTTCATTGTGATGAGTGCTCTGAGTACCTCAGTCATTTGCAGTCTGTTGTATTTATTTGTGCTGTAATTATGTTCCTTCAGCTGAAGTAGTTTTGAGAAAGTGTTTTGCAGAATAACAGCAGTGGGTTTGTATCTGCCATACTAATTCTGGAGTTTAAATTCAAGCAAATGAAAATACACAATTGTAATGTTCAGGTATTCCCCATAAATATCTTTCATCACCCGTAAGACCCTTTTCTGAAATCTGAAGTTATCTTTCTTATATACAGACCTAACCTCGGCTGCCTCTGCTCGGCCTGCCGCCCTCCCCTTGCCAGGGCGCTCTTGGAGCACCCCCCCACACACCGGGTTTTGGCACCCCGGTTTCGAAGAGCGCGGGTGGCAGTTGGCTGCCAGCAGGCGTCTGGTGATGGGTTTCAAAAATCCTCACCTTCAGTCAACGGCACGGACTCCTGTAGTTCGGTGGTTGCGTTTTTCTACCTTTTCTTGCTTGCCGTCGCTTTATTCGTCTTGCGCTTTGCCCAAACTTTGTCCAGGATGGTAAAGTTTGCCAGCAGGACGACACTCTCGTGCTCCCAAAATGGATGTCAACGTTTCTGCCGTGAAGCAGTTAACCGGCGTTCAGGGTGCATGGTGCTTTCAGGGTTGCTTCTGAGACGGGGTGAAACCCAGAGATAACGCGTTCTTTACTAAACGAGCTGGTTAGAGTTACGCGGACGTTGGTTCGTGTTTTACTGGTGTCCAGGTCCTCTGATTAAAGGGGGGGGGGGGGTAAAAAAACCTTGGTTGTAGGCAGGCCTAGAACTCACAGCCCAGCTCTCCCGGAGCAGCTTGGGTGCTCGCTGCGGACTGGGAGCAGGGGAAGCAGCAAAGCTGTTCGTCTGAAAGGTCGCGGGGTACTACCGTAAAAGTCAGTGATACCCAAGCAAAAAATTACCCTGAAGCGCATCTGCCTAATGTTGCCCTGTGGCCAACAAACGTGCGGCTACCAAGGCCCCGTTTGGAGCGTTCTTTTTGCAACTATTATAGTACTAAAAAATAAAAGTTTGTGTTATGCAAAAGAGTAGGAGGCACGTTACTATTGTAGCTCTTCTTTTGTGTTAAGCACTGTGTTGAACAGTACCTGAAAAAGGTGCATAAATAACCCAACATTGCAGGGTACAAGTAAGCTTGCCTTTGGTGTAAGTAGGTTTAGTTACGTTGTGCTTGTGTAAGTGGACGTACGTTGCTATGTTTACTTACATTACTAATGTCATCAAGCTGTGCAAGAATAAAGTCGTCTTGAGCTGTGTAGTAACTCCAGGTTAGGAATCTACACCAGTGTAATAGCATTACTGTGTTTAAACCATTTTCTAAATATAGGCAAGACTTTTTTTTTTCTGTACAGGTTTTGTTGTGACATTACTGCCTATAAACAGTGCTAGGCTGACAGCTTTCTGAATGAAATCTTTTTTCGAAGGAGCCAGCAGCAGAGTAAGATTTCCAGTACTGGTTCCCAGTCACTGAACATTGTTAGCTTTGCCCTGGAAGATCTGCTGCAGAGAGAGATTTCTGTTTGTCTGTGTGTTTGCTACGTTTCCTATCGCTGTCTACTGGGAACTGGATTAAGACTGCCTATTTGTTCCTAGCTCGCTTCTGAGGGGAGGGAGCAATTCAGAATTTTTTTCTTTTAAAGCGAACTTTTCAGTGACATTGCTCAGTTTGGTTTGCAGTTCAGGTTCAATTCAGTTTTGGGTTTGGAGGCCAAAGTCTTTATACGTCTTTTTGTCAGCCTAAGTTACCTAGCCTCCCAACAGTAATGTCAGAATAATAATGAATTAGAATAATCTTTTATCCTGCATTGTGTAAGTGGTTTGTAAAAGAATTTAGTAATTTTGTGTTCAGCAAAACTTAATCAGAGGTGCTTAACGACTTGACCAAGTTTAAACCAGCGCTTACTGCTCAGTCAACCCTTTCTTGGGAGCAATTATTGGGCCTGATTTTCCTACACAGGTCTATAAATTTAACTCCACTGAAATCCTGGTTTATTTTGGTGTAAACGTGAGAAGTGAATCAATTATTGTGTGTTTTATCTGCAAAGTGTCATGAAAAGTGACCTTGGGAAGGTTAGACAACCGGCTGTAGTCAAGCCAGATCTTCTGATTCCAAGACTGCTTCTCCAACTATTAGGAAAGCTGCACCTGTTATGCTCTATCTAGATAGTTTGTTTCGACCTGCCCGAAATATGTGACTATTGATTTGTCGGTCTTTGAAAAGAAGAAGAACTCTCATGCCGGTTCTATCCAGTCCTTCAGCCAAAAATACATCTTATCATAGTATCATATGATTGGAAAGTGAGCCTTATAAAGTGTGCCATTTTTTAGTGCTAAATTTATATATGCGTATATAGATATAAATGTGTATATACATGCCCAGATTTTATGCTATTGGAGTCAAATATTTACTTGCTTACATGGGTCACACTTGACAGGGTGGAGAAGGACTTAAACCTACATTTTTTTTAGGATAACTGTAAGAAAAACCTAACTTCTGCTAATAAGCCACTAAAGCTTCCTGCTCTTTCCCCGTCTGTATTGATTTCGTATCAGCAACAGCAGCAAGAAGATCCATTAGATGAGAGTTAGACCTATCTTGTTTTGCCAAAACCAATTGTTTTGCGTTTCTAATCTTTGAATGACTTACAGACTTCATTTTTCACAGTAGTTCTTGAGGACGACTTGAATTTTTTCTCTCTTCCAAACAGACAGAGAAAGAGAATGGCTTTCTTAAAGCTACTATAAAGGTACTGTTGTCAGAGCCAGTATTGGAAATCTAGAATCCCCGCTACCCCTTTCTGTATTCACACTTCACGGCTACTTGTTTTGCTGTTTTTTCTACGTTGCACACTTGCGGATACACCTCCGTAAAGGTCAGAAGTATCTTAGACTCTCTCTGGGGTTCTGACCTGGCCACCTCTCTTTTCTCACCTAGTGCTGTTCAGCAGCTGGTACCTAAAAAAACACATGTGGTACCTAAACAAACAGGAGGGCAGAAGCGCAACAGAGCAGGGTTGATTTGGAGGGGTGAGTACTCCTTTATAGGAGCCAGATTTAGGGAGGTAAGAAACTCAGGTCTTGATTCAAGGAATTAAGGTTTTTTTATTGTGAATTTTATTATTGTGGATGGGTGAGGGGTATACAGGGCATGAAGCTGGCAGTGCTGTTCACGGAGCAGCAGATGTCTTGTGCAAGAGTGGGGGGAGTAGAGGTGGTGGGAGCATATGACAGACTCTGGGAAGAGAGAAAATGGAACCTGTGTATAATAAGTACTTAATAGATACTAAAAATCAAGGGCTGTGCTTTTAGAGATTACTTGGATCTGCTCAGTGTCAGAGCTCAACCATGAGCAGCTTTATCTGAAATAGCACTTATGTTTACATTAGAAGATCAGGAGTTCAGTAAAAATCCGAAAGATGTCTTGTCATGCGTTGTTCTGGAAACTATTTAGAGTAAAAAAAAAAAAAATCACTTGTCACAACTTCTAATCTAAAAATGTATTTTGAAAGACCATCTGTGGTAGTGTAATACTGAAGTCACATGTATGTCTATAACTGTTAAAGTTTGCTCGTACTTCACCCTAACAGCCAACTGTTTTTTGTTTGTTTTTGGTTGTTTTTTTTTAAGCTGCTAGTATTTGGAATGCCTCCTAGTATTAAAATCTGTAGTCCAGGATTATAGTATACTCACCTGTGTTGTAGCACATCTTTTTCTTCTGGTTCAGTCGAGTACGTTTCCGAATAGTACTTCACTAGTATGTTACAAATTTATTGATATTTAACCAAATAAAACCAAAATATGAAATTTAAATTTTTTTTATTAAATAAAGTGGTTTTTATGGTAAATAACTCATTACATTTCTTTGTATATAAAAATGATTTTATTCTGTGACTCAAGCATATTTCTCTCTCCCTGTAATCCTCCAATTTAGTCTCTGTTCCTTGAGGAACAGGGGAATTAGTGCTGTTTGCCTCCAGGCTTAAGAAGTTTCTGAGAGCGAGGGACTGGATTTTCTAGGAAAGCTTCTCGCAGTGAAAATAGTCACCTGTTGGAACAATAACAGTTCTGC